TGTTTGGCGTCATTACGGGTCTTCTGAGTTCTGCTCGTGACAGTTTTCATGTCCTGCTAATTGTAAAGCACATTGAACTGCCTCTGTGTTTGAAATGTGTGCTATAAATAAAGCTGCTTTGCCTTGCCTTGCCTCTTTCGGGGGAAACCCAAGGCATTCTCCTGACCAGCCGAGAGACGCAGTCCCTCCAGCGTGTCCTGGATGTCGCTTTAGGCCTCCTCCTGGTTGCATGTGCCCAGAAAACCTCACCAGGGAGGCATCCAGGAGGCATCCTAACTAGATGCCCCAGCCACCTCAACCGGTTACTCTTGATGTGGAGAAGCAGCAGCTCTATTCCGAGCCCCTCCTGGATGACTGAGCTTCTCACCCTAACTAATTTTGGCTCCAATCTCCTTCTTTCGGTCACTACCCAAAGCTCGTGACCATTGGCGATCGTGGCTACGACCATAACGTAAATCGAGAGCTTTACCTTCCAGCTCAGCTCTCTCTTCACCACAACAGACCGGTACAGCGCCCGCATCACTGTAGAGGCAGCACCAGTCCGGTTGTCGATCTCGACCTGGAGAAGGCCTTCTACCCTTTTCTGACTCAAAACCATGGTACAAGATTTAGAGGAGCTGATTCTCATCCCAGCTGCTTCAAACTCGACTGCGAACTGCTCCAGTGAGAGCCGGAGATCACTGTCCGATAAAGCCAGCAGGACCACATCCTCTGCGAAAAGCAGAGACCCGATCCCTGGGCCACCAAAACAAATCCCCTCAACAGCTTGGCTGCCCCTAAAAGTCCCGTCCATAAAAGTTATGAACAGAATCGGTGATAAAGGACAGCCTTGGCGGAGTCCAACACTCACTGAGAACGAGCCTGATGTGCTGCCGGCAACGTGGAGCACGCTCTGATCTCAAAATTAAATCTGTGTCCCATTATTCATTTGTTTTAGTATTAATGATGGGGATATCAGTTCACAGATATATGATAATTCACATAATTTTTACATCTTTAAAAGAATTATGTCAAATTTCTAATCATTTAGTGCTCCTGTGGGAGAAGATATCCAGAGACGTTCAGCACCTGAACTGCAGTCGGTGTGAATTGCAGTCCTTTCAACAGCCGTTCGGAAAGCAGACTGCATCCGTATCACATTCGGTGTGAAACAGGCTTAAAAGTGTTTCACTTGTTTAATCAATACATTTCCAGTGGTCTCTAGTAGGAATGAATGTCTTTTAAGTCGTACTCTGGGGGGGAAAAAAAGACCCAGTATGCCTGTTTCAGGAACTAGAAATGAGCCACATCAGAGTTGAGCTTCAGACGACAGGATTTGGAGTCTTATTTCCTGCAAACATGACTTGCATGGAATCACAGCTTTTACCCCTCGGTGGTAGAGAACCAGAAGAAAGTTCAGCTGTGAACATCGTACCTACCTATGACAAATGCGTTGCCAACGATTCCAGATACAGAAATGCCACAAACAAACTTGAGAGCGATGTAAACGTAGATATTGGGTGAGAAAGCAGTACCCACACCGAATAAGAACAGAAGAAGATGTGAGAGCAGGACCACGAAGCGTCGGCCGAATCTACGAAGACAGCAAAATAATATATACTTTACTTTGTGTTTTTTAAAAAGAGCCTCAAAATCAATGCTGGTTTTCTCTAAATGCAACCTGGAGCAGTTTTAGAAAATAGCAATAAACAGAAATGCTAATTTGAAGGCAAAGATGATGTTAATTTCCTAAAATTTCAGACCTTATTTGCACAAATTCAGATTAAAGAATATTTTCGTTTTCTCTCAACCTGTCAATAAAAATGTAATGTGAATGCAGCTGGGTTTCCTGTGGTTGGTGAAGCGGTGGTTCATACCTGTCAGCCATCTGCCCCATGACAAACGCTCCAACCAGCAGACCCGCCATGTAAATAGACTGTGATGCTTCAATAAGACTGCTGCTGTCACACACCAGGCTGAACTGATGACACAGAGAACACACTCAACAATATCTGGCTCCAATGATGCTGTGCAACAGTGAAGAAAGTAAGTCCTGCTTAAAATTAGCGAGTTTCTAATTTGAATAAAAAAATTAAAAAAATCCCTAAAATCTTCTTTCTTTGTGTTTGTAAAAAAGTAAATTCTTTTTTTCTTGAAATAGAAAAATTATTTATACAGTATATATACGTACAGGCCTATGTTCATGTGATTTATTTACAGTTCTGGACTTTGATTTGTTCATTTTGTTGCCTAAAAGACAGCCAGGACAAAATTTATTTCATAGCTTTTCAGGGCCTGCAAATAGCAAACATTGTGACATCATAATGCTGCCACCACCATGCTTAACAGTTTTACAACCAGTAAATAGTCTGTTTTATTTCATTATGTAATTGTGTAACACTATAACAGTAATGAAAAAATAAAAATGGCTCCTGCCACTTGTAGATTCTCCATCAGAGGGCAGTAGACATACAGGACTGGATATGGCTGTTCGTAATGAAGGCACTAATCCTAATACTCAATTTAGAGACTTTAAAGTGTGATGTGTCTTTTCCCTGGTGATAGGGTGCAGTACATACCTAAATCATTGCAAGTAAGCACCATTTTTGTGTTTGAGGAAGACCTCACCAACGGATAGCGGGTCAAAAATCCCTGAGAGCACAGCCTCCAGCAAAATAACAAGCACATCAGACTCCCATCCATCACTGGCAGCGAGTGAAGAGGTAAATGTGTAAAACAACAACATTCATGAATGCTGAAAGTTTTGCAACTGCTTGTTACAAATTAGTAAATTTGTTTTGTCCTCACGGGCTCCTGTAGAAGGAAACATGGCCCAGAGACTTAGACCCACTCCCATGTATTTTAGACCCTTTTGTGGTTAAATGTTACAAAGCTGCCAATATTTTTCAACAGTTTAATTAATTTTAAAACCATTTTGATGGGTATTTCCAGAGATTAATAGTAAAACAAAGGGTTTGATGTGGATTGTGTGTTGATTAATCCTATTTAGAGTTTTAAAGCTCAAACCTGCTTCATTAGTCATTATGGCTTTCTACTTATCATTTGTAATACACACATTTAGATTAGTGTATTTAATATCTGCCATTTTCAAACAAACATGTCTATTTCCTTTCTAATATTTATATGCTAAATAAGGATGTTTATTTGTTTGCATTCTGTGATGGTCAAAAGTTTCTCCTACCTCTGAAACAATACTGGAGGCACCTTTGGTCAGCTGAAAATCAGACCCATTGGTGCATCCTGTTGTTGAATTAATTCCATACTTTTCAATCTCTTCCAGATCTAGTTCCACAGGTGTGAACATTTTACAACTCTCAAACATTCCATCTCTGTTCACAGGGATGGTGAGGTTCTGCTTCTTGTCTTTGGTTAGGTTGGACCCGCCACGATCCAAAATCCAGTCGGTGTTGCAGTGGTGAGGGAAGTTCACGCCTGTAAAAACTTGTCCGATCACATCAAACGCTGTAAATAAGCTGGTGAGGCACAACGCAGCCACCAAACGTTTCTGAAACAAGCCAAATTCTCCGATCTCTTTTAGGATCTGAGCAAAATTGCTCATTTTTGGTGTCTTAATGTCCTCGGAGTGGAGCGGAGACAGATCTGGGTTTAGGCCAAGTTTACCCACTGACAGTCAACTCAACTCCAAGTTAATGTTTAACCTGACAATCGTGATTTTATGACCCGTCAAAATTGCTAAACAAGCGTTATGTTACATTTCTGTTTAATCAGCAGCTTGTTGTTATTCTTTAATAACCTCAGAATACAGATCTGAGGTTTAAACAAAAACCATTTGGTCATAAATCCTCCAAAGGTAACAGCAATCATATAATAAAAATGATGAAAACAGGTAAAAAGCAGAGAACTACCCAACTGTCAGCTGGTTTGCATTGACTCCTTTTGTTAATTTTATTCTCAATATTTAAAATAACTAAGGAAAAAAAATCAAGACCACCGATTTTTCCTGGATTTGAGGCTGAATTTTTAACATTTTCTTTTAAAAAATAGATCCTGTACCTTCTTCATGGCTGCTAAAACTTACAATCCAACAATCGAACAATATTTCAGTCATCGTTCATCTTCGATAATAAAAACTAAAGTAAAGCAGCCCTTATTTTTTAACAGAAAAACATCACCGTGGGAAAGTCAACAACCTCAACAGATTAGACTTTACCAGATTGATAGGCTAATGGCTAGTCACATTGGTACAAACGTTTCTGGTGTCCTAAAGCCACTCTTCAATCAAAAAGATCAGCAAATACAAAATTACTAACTTTTACATGAATTCGTATTCACATAGACTCCAGTGTTTACTTCCAGCAGGAATTCGCCACAGAGCTAGCTCCTGAAGCGATCCAGGCTGTACTTTTGTTCCCAGATCTCATGTTGGCATTTGACTCTTTGACTCCATCCGAGCTGCTGCTGATGCTCATCTGAGGATCATCTTCATCATCACCACCTTACAATGCTGCATCGTTGTTGTCCACCTGGTGATCCTTTGGCCTCTCATGTGATTCATTCTCTAAGGTTTTGCCTCAGACCTTTATTGTGACCTTTACCCTTTTAGCTCTTATCCCTCAGAGTTCTCAGCTATATTTTTTATGGGGACTCTATGATGACTAGACATCCAAAACACTGGTCTGCCCACTCTCCAATCCAATTTTTCTGCGCTTTGTAGTTCCCAGATAGCTTGTGCCTTTAAATAGTTTAGTTAAGGGCATTGACCCGAGGGTCTAATCAGATTGTGTGCAATTTTTAAAAAGTTTTTCAAAGCAAGCATGCTTGAGACTGAGAGTCAGCGTGTTTGCCCCGAGTAAAGCCTGCGACTTAACCTGTGCTATTGTTGTGGCAAGGCAAGATTAAAACAATGAATGAGTCAAGTTTTAAGATAACAAGGGTAATAAATCTGAAGGTACAGAGAGCAAGGTAACAAATACAGTCTTGATTATGAAACTGGTGCATAATAATATGTAATATTTTAGAAAAAGTACAGCACAAGTGAATAAAAACTCAAAAGTTTGATTTTATTTCCTTCATATTTGCTCAAAATACATTTATGTTTCTGATTTTTTCCCAGATACGTTCACAATGCTGCTGATGAAAAATTTCCCCCGAAAATGCTAAAGATTAAAAAAATGTCTGACCCAAATCCACAGTCCTTATGAATTTAGCATTTTACCATTTTCAACTTTAAAGAAAAATAAACAAGCAAATGTAAGTGACGGAATTCATTATTTATGACTACAAAAAATCCCTGTTATTTTGTGTAATAAACACTTATTTTATTCAAAATTAGATCCACATCACTCAATTCTGATATTAGGTTGTTGCAAATGTATGTGTAAACACAATCAAACACAATAAACTGTTGCATGAATAAAAAAAAGTTGGTGTGTAAAGATCGGGCAGTGATGACCTCATGGTGTCTCAAACACAACATCACTAATGTTCTGTCGTCACAGTCACCTTCTCATCAGCTAAAGATATAAAAAAGAACATGTTACTTATGAAAATCAACAAATGTTAACAGATATAATAGTTTTTTTTTTCAGTCTTACCAGTATGTACTTTTAGGTTTATGCCTCATGTTCATTGTCCACCATCTTGGTTTAACTCTTGTAAAGCCACTTGTTCTTGTGCTGAGTGTGTCCGAAGCCCTCGTCATAGTTCCCCTTTCTCTTGAACAGTTGTTGGTAGTGAAATATGCAGTAGAATTCCCCGTTTAAAGGTGTGAAACTGTGCATGCTACAAATGAGCACAAGTTAGAAACAGCTAAAGTTGTTCAAAAGGGATACATCTGATTTCTCAGAGAATCAGGGAAAGATACTCATGAAGGAGTCAAGCTAAACTCTAAATTTCATGACTTTTATGTACACTTTTAACATATTTTCCATCAGTTATTTGTATAGATTTTAGTCATTTAAAGGTAGAATATGTAAGAATTTTACTGTGAAATGATCACAAAATAGTCTAATGTTGTGTTGAGAGAAAAGGGTACATTGAAAAAGATTTCCCTCTCAGCCAGCTGGGTGGTGGTTCTCCTTTTAAAAAGGCCAAAGAGAGACAAAGGGTGTTTCTCAATGTCAAGGCGCCTAGCCTTGCGAGGCGATGTCTTGCAAGGCCAGGTGCCTTACTTACGAGGACACTGTCCTTCCTTGGTCAAAGAAAATGGTCATAGAACAGACTTGCATCCTGTGACCGTGGCTTCCATGGCGGTTATGCAACGTCACGTGACACGGGAGATAATGCTATATTTTATACGTATTAGTTTCAATATAAATATATAACGAGCCTTTTACTTTTTAAATTGTGTATATGTTTATTAAATAAAAAATAAAAGGGAGTTACTACCCGCTAGCCACCGAAGCTGCAACTACTAAGCAACTAACCAACAATAGATAACTTCTTTGGATCTAAAAAAAAACCAATTTTAAATTAACTGACTTAGTTTTAAACCTGAAAATTGTCCCCAAAGTAGCTGCTGGCTTCTGATCTGCCGTCTTTTTGAAAATACCGCGGTGTATTGTGGGTCTTTGACCAAGGCTAGGCTACAAGACACCTCCCGTGTATCCTTGCTCAGCTAGCTAAACGGCTAACAAACGGAGAACACATGCCTCGGTACATGAACATTGGAACAGCTTGGAACACGTCTTGGCAACTCCCGATGATGTATCTCCTAGGCAACCGGGGCAGGGCCAAGACATCAAGGCAACGTTCATTGGCATTGAGAAACACCCAAAGTCTTTGTTTTCAATCTGTAATCCGCTGCGCCAGCATTTGTGATTTGGCACTAGCCGTCAAAACGCAGCAGTGTTTTGTGAGGTTCCTAAGCCAATAAAAAGGAGCAACCTCAAATATATTTTTTGTAACCCTAAGAGAGCAGAACAACTTTTAGTTTTACTCTAATATCAGGGGAAGAAGGCTACAGGCTAATGTAGAGCTAACAATGCTAACGGTAAATTAGAAACAAATAGTCAGCTCTAAAAATATCTACCAACAACCTCATATTACAGTGAAATGTATTCTTCTACTTACTGTGTGTGCCTCATCTTTGCTTGTCTAGAATCTTGTGGCACAGAGCTGTAGCTTGCTACAACCATGAAACTCACAAAAGAGTAGTGAGAAAGTGACTAGTTTGTTTGAATAGCAGGTTGCAGTAACCAGATTTGACCACAGGATGTCACTCTTTCTTCATTCTTACATAATGCATCTTTAGTTACTCTTGGTTTTGAGACTACTTTGGTCACAGAAATGCTAGATGTGATAATTAGCAATACTATTTCCATCAGTTAGGAGAAAACATAAAACATTTTTTAATTTCATAGACTGATAAAAAGAGCAGTAAAATAAAGATAAATAAAACATCTAAAACGATGAACAATTCTAGGTTTCAAAGAAAGTCTTAGTAGACTTGTTGTCTTTTATGGGTAAAAATTAACAAGGAAACGTGCACTTTCTATTAAGTAAAGTACCGTTGAAAAGCAACCTTTGCAAATAAAACAGCACGAATAGTTATTCATTACACATTATCCAAGTTTGAATGAACTCTTTAAAAATCTATTAAGTCAGGGTCATTATCTAGAAGCTCAAGGTGTAAATATAGACCCACGTTATGTTCTCCACATAAAAAACAAGATTTTATGTGTTCAAAAATTGGACCGATTTATGCAAGACTATAGGAAATACTCATATTTTTATTGCCAGTTTTAAAATTGAAGACAGCATTCTAACTGAAAAGTATTCAATTTGTTGATTATCTTACAGTTGTAACACAAACATGAAAAATAATTGATTGGTATTTGAGATGATTTTTCTCAAGAACATTTGAAGCTCCCACCTTAAGGTTTTCCTGCACTTTTTACAGCAGAAGCAACATTTGTGAAACACGTATTTGTCTGCTGTGATTTTTTCCATCTGATAAACTGGCTTCAGACAGGCTGAGCACATCTCGTGACAAGCTGGTTGGAACTGACGGGAAAAAACGAGACTCGGTTAAAACTCACAAACGTTTTGGCAAAAATGTACAAAAGCTTTCAAACACAAGTCAAATTTTAAATGAACAGACAAAATTGATAAGATTTTTCAAAGCTTAGAAACAACCAAACTAAGTCTCTAACCAAAATAACATTTAAACAAATTAAATAATTTTCAAATTAAGAGCATCAAGAACACAACAAACGTGTAACTATTTAGACATCAAACCCCTGACTTTCTGACAGATGAATCTGTGGATGTGTAGAGTGCCTCGATGGAAGAGCCTGACCAAGGACCGTGGACGTTTTGGACGTGTACACCTTGTTTCCAGAGTTGTCAGTCCTCTCGTAGTTTTCTGAGACAGTTTTTGTCCCCATGATGCTTTTCCCTTCGTGGTCCGTTTGTACTTCCAGCACACTCATCTCTTGGTTAGCGTCTTGTTGACTGTGACCTTGTTTTTGCCTTCCTTTTTCACTCCTGTCAGAGCTGTTGCACTTAAATGTCTTTGTCGTCCGAAACCGCTCTTCAGCCTTTGGGCTCTGCAGACACGGCAGACAGGTGGGGGCTTCCATTGAGTTTTCGTCCATTTTTCGAATTGCTGACTGAAGAGTTAGGCTTAGGGTTGGGGGGTTAGATGGAGGAATTTTTTGTTTTATAGCACTAGCACTTGTGTTTTGTGGTGGGATGACACTTTCCTGTGCTTCCTGGGTATTCATTTCTCTGCTGTTGCCTGAAGACGATGGTCCTTTAAATGTCCCCATTGACTCTTTCAATAAACGTGATAAACCTGCAATATCTGAGTCAGATTTCAGTGCAGACACAGAATAAAGGGCCTTCCTGATGGTGTCTTCTATGTCCTTGAGCCTAGCTAACGTCTGTTCTTTTAGATTTATGATCTCCTCACTCGCACGCTCAAGATCTCCATAAATGTGTTCCATGGAGGACTTGCTTTCCGTTTTATCGGGTGGTGATGGAACCGGCTTCTCTTTGCATCTTGATCGGATATTTTTTTGTTTCTTTTTGTTTGGACCAACAACCCATTCGGGAACACTCTCAAACACTCTCCTGAGAGACGGTACATCTACTTTGCTTGTGTCCTGTTCAATTTCCTCAACACGACTGAGAATTATCTGCAGTTGTTCTTGCTTTCTCAAGTTGTCAAAAATCTCCGTGGCTTTCACGACGTTCCCTCTCACAATTTCGTCCATATGTATTGACAGTCGCTGTCGCCGCTCGTCCTCTGTTTCGGTTCGTCCTTTCTTTTCCCTCATCTCCACTTTGCTGACTTGCTTTGTGTCTTTTTCAGACTTGTCTTCTCTCTCAGCGGTTATTCCACGGGTTGAAGGGTTAGTCAGAACAGATTGATCTCCTGTGTTACCTCCTGGTTGGTACTTTGGGTTCTTGACATTTAATTTGGCACATTTTTGTCTCTTTGGTTTTACGGGGGCAGTCTTAACTGAAATTGCCTTTTTACCTTCAAATTTCTGACACGCTCCATGAAAATCTATGTGGTTTTCTTCGGTTTCGTTCATGTTGCCCCTTTCTGGATCTTCCCCAGCCTTTGTCTGTTGCCCATTGACAGCAATACTTTCTAAGCTGACTTGAACCTGATGCCTTGGTTCACTTTGTTGCAACGTCTGCTTATCATTATCCAAACTTTCATGACCAGTCATTGACTCATTGGTAGATTTAATCAGAGGCTGCTTATTTTGCATTATGCATGATTGCGGAACATGAGGAGCCGTTTCTTTGGTTCTCACCGTAAAAATCTCAGTTGTCTCTGGATTTATTTTTGTAGCTGGATGAGTATCTCCTTGTTTACTCTTTAGATGTTCAGGTTTAGGAGGGAGCGGCGGTTTAGGACCAATGGGTGTTTTAGTTTGCTTTGAAACAACGGTATTAGGTCCATGTACTGTTTCAGTCACTTCTTGCTCTGGTTGGACTTGAGCTGGGCGAAGCTCCGTAGTATTTTGGTTTTTATTTGTTTGTGATGTTCTTTGATGAGAATTGGAAGCGTTTCTGTATATCATTGCAGCTCTGAAATCTCCTCTTGTAACATTAATGTTGGACTTTTCCAAGGATTCCAAAGCTGCTTGAATTTTACCTTCAAAAACAACTTCCTCCTCTTCTGGTTGGGGCATTTTGTGTGAACTATGTGATGTCGGATTGGGCTGTTTCTCATCTAATGCTGTTCTACAAGTCTCAGCAGTTTGAAGTTTCTCTGGATTGTCATCTGAGTTTTTGTGTTTCCATTCTGATTCATGTTCTGAGGTAATATCTGAAGTTAATAAGGGTTTATTCCAACTCAGCTCCATGCCTGATTTAACTTCTGCATCAATATTTTCCTGAGATAATTCCATTTCTGTTCTTGATAATTTCACACCATCTGATTTTTCTTCTGTACAGATTTTTTGTGACTCTTCAAATGACTGATAAAATGATTTAGCCTCTTTTGTGGCTTGCTGAAGATCTTGGATAGCAGTTTGTAGATCACAGTTCTCATCTACATCATTCACAACATCTGCTAACTCTGCTTGGTAAACCCTTCCATCATCCTGTGGTACATCTTCATTCTCTCTAAAGGTATTCTTAGCATGCTGGTGGTGTAAAGATCGGACATTACATTCATTAGAGGACTGTCTTTTTCCAGATGCATTAGAAGTAATAGCAGACTGGAAACACGTACCCTGGATTTGATTTTTATCTTCAGAGAAAATGCTTTTTAGTCTCTTCACATCTACTGGGGCGTACTCTGAGATACCGTCCCCAGACAGATCTCCTCTTTGTTCCTGGTTAGGTTCTTCATCCCATTCAACATCTATTTTGTTTTGAGATGGTTCCTCCGTTTCAGCTGTTGGTTCATCACCCTGAAGAGATTTTAAATACTCCAAGTCCCCCTTTTCGATACAGCTCTTGAAGAGCTTTACATTAACCTTTAGGCGAGGCCAGGTTGACTCCCAGCAGGTTTGCTCTTCAGATGTTTCTTGAGGGCCACTTTTGGTTGATGTTTCATCTGTTTTACTCATGCAGCCTGTTACTGTCTCAGATTCTTTATAGTCTGCAGGTTTTGGAGGGCTATAACTCTTCACGTCTTCTTCATCAAAGTACTTGTAGAGGGAATAAACGAGGACTGCCGCGTCTTCTTGGATAATCACTCCTTTCCTCAGAGAGTTGTCCTGATTGAGAATATCTTCAACAAGCTGGACCACGTTGGCGGTTTTGAACTCTGTGTCTTTGTTTGGGTTGAACTGATGCTGGTGGACCAGTACATCCACCACCGCGGCCTTCATAGACCCTTCTTTATCCTCCTTTAGGTAGGTGATCTGAGGTTTTAGGTTTACCCGTGGTAGCAGCTGGACTATAAAGTTTTGTGCACCACCTTCAGCAACTTCATCATAATTGATCTCAGGTACACCCTCTGATAAGATGAATTTAGCCTTTTTGGCTCTCATTGTCTCATTTACCTCGATTATTGTCCCAGAAGATTGGATGGCTTTAACTTGAAACAGGAAATTCAAAGTTTCCTTGATGTTTTCCATCATCGTCTCAATGTCATCCCAGTTCTGATGCCTAATCTTGTCAAATGGCATCGATTCAAAAAGGTGAGTTCTGTTCTTTACGTTGGCTGTCAGGCAGTCCTCACGTGCTGTGATATTTTGATTTGGCATCATGGATGTGCGCTCGTGGGAAATCTCCTTTTCTATGTTTGTTGAGATGAAAGGGTTGTTTTGGAGAAGGGTAGCACTTGTTTTTATGTTTCCACTTTCCAAGTCAGTATAAGGCACAGTGTTGTCTTCAAAGTCGTCCCCACCAGAGTGTTGGTGTTGGGTTAGGGTTTGACTAACAGGACCACACAGCCCTTGAGGCTCATCCACCAAATCTCTGGGTTTACTTTCATCTACTACATTTTCTTTGACAGAATGTTTGTTTGATTTTTTAATCTTTTCTTTATCCAAAATTATAGATACATTCCCTTGAACCTTCTCAGGATTTGACTTGGACTGACTCTCAAACATTCTTCTGGTGGCCTGAACGTCCACTCTTGTCATCTCTTCTTCAACCTGATCATTAAAATCTGGTCTTAAATCATGAAAATCATTGCTGTTTGTGTTTTCTTTATGATCATCAGGGATGTTTTCACTAGAATCACATCCTTCCTCTCCTTTATGCACCATATGGTTCTTTGTGTAAGGAGGCACATCAGCGCTGGAGCCACAGTTCTCAAATTTCAAGCATCTTGAAAGGACCTCTCCCTCGTATCCAGTTTCACCAACTGTCGCCGTTTCTGAGCTCAGGACCTCAGCAAACTCCTCGTCCACCACATCATCCAGCATCCTCAGCTCTGGGTGGGTGTGTTTCAGGAGCCTCTTCAGCTCACTTTTCTGACGTTGTTGGTGCAGCTTTTGTTTGGAAAGCTGAGCTGGCTTTAATTGTTGAGATTGTTCTAGTTCTGCCACATGTTCGTCTGGTTGAAACGGTGGGGGGTTGTCCATCTTTTGGAGGAAGTCTTCTTTAATCTTGGAATAGCAAAGTAACGCTTTTACTATTTGCACCCTTTTAAATCAGGGTTTGGTCACCGAAAGCCATGCTGCAGATTCCTCAAGCATACTTATGTAAAAGAGTCATACAGTTACCACCCAACTCATGCCCGTTGGACTTACTTCCACATGACAGGTGTAACAGATTAAAGGTTGCAAACAACCACAGACACAGCCACAAAACAGATTAAACAACACGGTGTTGAATGTGCATCAAACACAGCCATCATGCAAAAAATCTGGGGACATCTTTTACCTTTGTTGGTTTTACTTTTTGCCCAGATTCACGTGGCTGAACCTGCTCCTAGATAAATAAAAGGAAGAACATCTGAACAGTTTTATATGTGTATAATATATATATATATATATATATATATATATATATATATATATATATATATATATATATATATATACATATATCCAGACTGATCTGCATGATTAAATGTTCTCTTTTAGGAATTAATTCCTTGTTTATTTCTAGTTCTATTCATTTATTTCTATTTATTTATTTAGATGTATTTCTGTTTATTTATTACATAATAAAAATAAAAGGTTTTCAGCTGATTTCCAATGATTTGATTTAAAAAATAATCTTTTTACAATTAAATATGTGGTTTAGCTTTACGATGAGACTACTTACATAAATGAGTAAGACATTTGTAATAATAAATTATTTTTTAGGTAATAAACACTTTATAAGCATTCATAAAAGTTTTGACACATTAGGTAAAAAGCACAGCACTGATCTGTTTTCTGTGTCTTTAAATGCTTTTAAAATTCTTCCTAATACTTTATAAGTTCTTTGCAGACTAATTAGTAAACAATTTGTAAGGTCATTGCTCATACGGGCAATACTACTGTAGTGTTATCTAAAATATATATATATATGTTTCAATTATTTAATGATCAATTATAATTAGCATTTCTGCTCTGACATTAAATACAAATTAAATGGGAAATTTTGATGAAAAATAGAATCTAACTCTTTATTATGACATGTCACCTATGAAGACCATTTAACTCTATACATGTGCTTTAAATGGTTAAAACGACTGATAATTTGATGTTCAGTCCCGTTTTCTTCAACATACAAATAAACCAAAATGACTGTTTTTTAATAATGTTGCTGAAATTTAATGCCTAAAATTCTGTTTTAGAGCAAAATTGTGTTTTAAATTAAAACAAGACAATTTAGCTTTTTACATGAATCTTTTGAACAATTACTGTGAAAAAAATAGAAATGAACACTTATGTTCGTTTCTTCCGAATTACCCATGATTTCTTGTAATGTTTTAATGCACATTTGATCTACATGTCATCAAGTTGTTCTTATTTATTTATTTTTAGCCAGGTTTTCACTCATTTCCTGACTATTTCAATGTTTATTGAGTCATTTGGAAGAAAAATGTTTTTAAAGATGAATGAAAACTCAGGAATTTTCAAATGTAATGTTTCTACTATACAAAAAACTCATAATAATTAACTGGTAAATATCCACAATAATACATTTACCGTTTTGTTATTGGCACCCTGATTGGTCACTTTTGACATATAGAGAGCAGATATGGCTTTGACTGACACGACTGACAGGATCTCTTTGGTCTGGATGAAAGAGTTGTCTCTGAAGTCTGCAATCGATCTCCTTTTTTCATCTGCAGAGACACATATTCCCATTTATAACACACACACACACACACACACACACACACACACACATACACACACACACATACACACACACATACACACACACACACACACACACACACACACACACACACACACACACACACACACACACACACACACACACACACACACACACACACACACACACACACACACACACACACACACACACAGCACCAAAGGCTGTTTTCTGCTCATATTAACGTCCAGTGTTTGTTGGTAATTAGTGACATGACTTCCTGAGTAGATATCTAACAGCTGTCATGTGGCTGAGTTATAAATGCACGCTTGTGGTGGAGCAGGAAAGACACCTGACTCCACCGACTCACATACTGAGAGTTAAAGCAGGAGTGAGTCGCTGCAACAAGCTGAGTGAGTTTAGAAGTAAACACACGTCTATGAGCAAAAACATGTCATTTAAAGGAAAACACACATTTCAGCAATTTTAATGTTTTTGGCCCAACAATGTGTTTTTACCCATTGGCAAGGAAGAAAAAGAAACTATAGAAAAAAATGATTCAGCCTTTTCTTATTTCAGCTTATTATAGACAAACAATCAGAGGAACTGTTGTGAGTTTTTGCAAGGTTGGAAAATGTGTTAAATATTTCATTTGACCATTTCAAAGTTCATTATTCTAATACATCACTTAAATAATCTAAAAATGATTTTCTATTTTAGAAAATGGAAATCTAACTCCCGTAACCAGACACTTTAGGCTCAAATAAATAAAATAAATGGTTAATGATTAGATAAATTAGCTTAAAAGCTCAAACAAATTAATGCAAATTAAGGTCAACTAGATTATTTTTATTTTTACGTTTAAATTATTTACAGTCATTCAATAAACAAATGAGTTTTGTTCCCAATTAGAATCAACATATTAGATTTTACAGTGTACAGGACATTGTTCTCCAGGATCACAAGATTTTATAAATATTTATGGCGACGTTGAGTCGTCTTCAGGTAAAATCTTAATTTCTACTCACAGACGAGGAACACCTCCAGGTTCTTTAGCCAATATAAATGCAGTTTTGTTTGTAATGTCTGTAAATTCCTTTTGGTTTGAGTCCATTAAATAAAGTTTCTGCCTCTCTATGTGGCTCCTTCTCTCTGTCTCATCTGTCCCGGACACAGCCGACCCTTTCACCCCCTTGGTGCCTATTCAAGACTCGTGGCTCAGCAGCTATTTCTGTTACACTCTAAAGTGACCCACTGGCCCACCAGCCCAAGTCAATCACTTTGCAGAGTCATAGATAACATCTGCAGAATAGAGATATTTATTTTTAGATTGTCATTACACATCAGTGCACTGCAAAGCTAAATTATGTTCCATAATCCACATCAGTTTGAATATATTTTAATTTTGGTCACGTGTGGGTTAATTTCATTGAGTTTTTGCTTATTTTTAACTTTCACCAAACCATAAAATGGTTTAATCTTTGTTCAGTTGATAGTAAAAATGTTACTTTGACCCTAGGATAGCTGATATAATTACACTTTGAACATTTATACACACAGTACAAATTTATCACGTCAAGGTTTTTGGTTATTGTGGAGATGGCTTTCTTTGTTGCCAAAACAGGAAGTGGAAATATTCATATGTGGAGCTCACCTGCTTCAGATGCGGCCATCTTTTCAAAATTAACGCCGGCTATCGTTCTTCTCCTCTCAATCTGGGACTGGTTCATAACCTGATTCGCCAACTGGATAGATAAATAGTAAGATCATGATGGGTCAGTTGAATTTAATTCAATTTTTCGTGGTTGCCCGAGCCTCATCAGAAAAGCTTACAATCATCTGCATAAATGATAATATGCTGGAAAACAAGCAACAGATGGAGTTTTTACTAAGGGTAGGAATCGATTAAAAATAATCTAATTCATTGAAGACTTTGTAATTAATTAATCTTGATTAATCACATTTTAGTGATTCAAGACAATTTGCGCCCAAGCATTTTTTCAAAATAAATAATAATGTTAGTAAGGCACAGATGACTTACCCAAACTTCAATGAGTATATTTCTGTAACCACAAGGTCTATTTGATTACTTTGATCTAATTCCGAAGGTAAGCGTTGTGATATTTGTAGGGATGTGTAAATATTAGTATATGTGTTATTAATGAAGTGTAAATGGATATAATAATAATAATAATAATAATAATACATTTTATTTCAACAGCGCCTTTCTGAACACTCAAGGACACTTTACAGAGATAAAATACACAACAATAAAAGATAAAACAGCATAAAACAAACAGACAGATTGGAGCAACGAGAGTAATTATTGGAATGCTAGACGGAACAGGTGAGTTTTGATATGGAACATTGTAAATATTGTGAACTGACCTGACCACTATGTGGCAGCAGATCACTGCTAATATAAATACACTCACCTAAAGGATAATTAGGAACATCATACTAATATGGTGTTTGACCCCCTTTCGCCTTCAGAACTTCCTTAATTCTACGTGGCATTGATTCAACAAGGTGCTGAAAGCATTCTTTAGAAATGTTGACCCATATTGACAGGATAGCATCTTACAGTTGATAGAGATTTGTGGGAAGCACATACAGGGCACAAAGCTCGCGTTCCACCACATCCCAAAGATGCTCTATCGGGCTGAGATCTGGTGACTGTGGGGACCGTTGTAGTACAGTGAACTCATCGTCATGTTCAAGAAACCAAGTTGAAATGATTGGAGCTTTATGACATGGTGCATTATCCTGCTGGAAGCAGCCATCAGAGGATGGGTACATGGTGGTCATGAAGGGATGGACATGGTCAGAAACAATGTAGGTAACAACAAAGGTAGCCCGTGGCATTTAAACAATGCCAAATTGGTACTAAAGGGCCTAAAGTGTGCCAAGAAAATGATAAATGACCTGCACTTGTATAGCGCCTCTCAGAGTAAGGACTCCAAAGCGCTTTACACTACAGTGTATCATTCTTCCATTCACACACTCATTCGCACACTGATGGTGATGAGCTACGATGTAGCCACAGCTGCCCTGGGGCACACTGACAGGGGCACCACCCATCTCTCCGACCACCATCAGCAGGCAAGGTGGGTTAAGTGTCTTGTCCAAGGACACAACAGCAGAATTCTCTGTCCGGAGCCGGGATCGAACCTGCAACCTTCCGATTACTGGACAACCCGCTCAACCTGTTGAGCTACTGCTGCCCCCAAAGTCTAGGAAGAGCATTCTCACGTAGCTTCCTCTGGGCTCCAGGTGACTCAGCGCAGTGTGGAGCGCTATGGTGATAGCATCCTCGGTGGAACGGTTTGCCCTGTATGCAAATTGATGGAAGTCCAGAGTGGGAGGCAGACAAGTTCTGATGTGCTGACAAATCAGTCTCTCAAAGCACTTCATCACTGCAGGCATAAGTGCAATAGGCCTGTAGTCATTTGGGCTGTGCACCGCTGTCTTCTTGGCGATTGGGATGATGGTAGATGTTTTTAGGCAGGGTGGGACGATGTTTTGCGACAGGGAAAGGTTGAAGATTCTAGTGAAGACTCCGGACAGTTGATCAGCACAAGCTCTTAGATCCTTTCCATGTATTCCATCAGGACCTGCCGCCTTCCTCGGATTTACTGACCTCAGAACACTCCTCACTTGATGCTCCTGAAATGTCAGTATACCGGTGCTGGGAGCGGGTGGAAGTGGTGTCACAGTTAAGGGCCTGATATTCTCAAAGCGGGCGAAAAAGCGGTTTAAATCCTCAGCCAGCAAGGCATCAGTCCTAGATGTCAACTGGTTCTTGCTTCTGTAGTTTGTAATGTGATTGATCCCCTGCCACATCTTTCTGGGGTCATTGTCAGCAAAGTGATCTTCAATCTTCCTCCTATAGGTAGCCTTGGCTTCCCTGATGCCTCTGTTCAGCTCCGCCCTGGCCGCCCTGTATGCTGCCCTGTCCCCTGACTTGAAGGCGGTGTTGCAGCTTTTTAGGAGGGATTGCACTTCGCTGTTCATCCACGGTTTTTGATTTGGAAACATCCTGATCCTTTTGTTGATGGTGACACTGTCAACACAGTTTCTGATGTAGGAGAGTACAGTATCCGTATACTCTTGGAGGTTGTGGCTGGAGAATAAATCCCATACAGTTGTAGCGAAACAGTCCTGTAGTTGAGACAGGGCTCCTTCAGGCCAGGTTTTTATTGTCTTTGTCTGGCGCTTTGTTTTCCTCAGCAGGGGCGTGTAGGTGGGAGTGAGGGACATGAAGAGGTGGTCAGATCCAGCCAGGTGAGGTAGGGGTGTCTCTCTGTAAGCATGACTGATGTTTGAGTAAACATGGTCCAGAGTGCTTTCCCCTCTAGTAGCAAAGTTAAGCAAATTTAGGAAGCACAGTCTTTAGGCACGCTTTATTGAAATCGCCGGCAACAATAAAAACCCTATCGGGGTGGGCGAACTGTTGTTTATTGATGGTGGTGTGCAAGAGGCTGAGAGCCGTGCCAACGTTGGCATCCAACGGTATATAAACAGCTAGCACTATCACCACAGTAAACTCCCTCGGGATATAAAAAGGTCTGCACGAAACTGCCAGAACCTCTAAATCAGGAGAACAGTGTGTGTGGATGATACTGCTGTTGCTACACCATTCGTTGTGAACGTAAACACAGAGCCCCCCTCCTTTGCTTTTACCTGAATAGCTGGTATTTGCCAGAAACAGGCAACCTGAGGCTGAAACCTACGTCGATTATGTTCTGTCGGCTGTGATAAATGTTGGCGTTGCAGAAATTTAGAAATAGACACAGTAAAGATAATAAAAACAAGCACCAAACTGGAGAGCTAAGAGCAGCTGCGCTCGTGTGCACCGCCATCTTGTCACGATTGATGAATGCTGCGTGTACTTTGCTGTAATAAAGGTTACATGGATAATGTTGCTGCCTGCTGCTTTCTACTTTCTACAAAACATAAGAAAGTCGATTTTTTTCTTCCTTTTTTTTCGTCACTACTTCACACAGAACTTTTTCCTGACCTTTAACTCCTGAACCATGACGCATTAACTCATACTTTGTTATCCTTCTTTCCACCTTGGGTGTTCAATTTTAAATCTGTGGATTAGTTTATTGTGGATGTACTTTGTTTTATTGGTTTTACTTCATTGTTCTTTTTAATAGTTTTTATGACATATGTGACTATTTCTGCTCGTGTTGTTTTATTATGTGCAGCTCATTGGTCGGTTGTAATGTCATGTTAAATGTGCTCTATAAATAAAGTGGTATGGCATTGTCATGAAGAGTGATTTGTTATGATTGATTTAATTGTAGTTTTGGTTTTGTTTGGAGATCGTAAAAATGGTTTATATGGTCTTGTAGCCCAAGCTTTGCAATTTCCTTAAAGGTGCAGCTTGATTATTGATATACAGGGCCCAAATTGTGATGCTAAACTTTTCCGGCACCCAACTCGGGGGCACTCAGGCTTAAACGGGCTTTTAACATATTAATTTTTTTCTAAATAATTAATCGTAATAAATGTGTTAAATTCCCACTCTTAGTTTTTACCTAAATTATGCTTTGAATTTAAATGGGTTCTTAATTTAGAGAACAGGAGCAGATCTACGGGGAAAGGGGTGGGGGCCCCTTTCTGTAGAGCTTTGCCCCCCCAGATCACCCTTAATTTTCTTCCGTTAAAATGCCTTAAGCTCTCTTAAAAGTGATGGCTACAAACCCGATGACTACACCAGCAGCCTAACGTGACCTTTAAACTTGTAAAGAGATTTTATTTACCTTTTGAGCCACATGATCCTTTTTATTCTCAGCAGGTGGTTTATGCTCTCTTGCAGTGCCATGCACATCCTCTCCATTCACCACTGGCATGTCAGCTTTGTACTTCTGTGTTTCATTTGACATCCTAAAGCTGCTCTTTACTCTCCTTTTGGCAGTGTCGCTCGACTCAAACACAGCCATAAGGGCCTCAAAGGACCCTGTGCTGTTTTGAAGGCTGCCCGTTGATTTGCTGCGAGTCAGGTTGGTTTTGACTCCGACTTTTTCTCGCTCTTCATTTCTTTTCATCAGGGACTCCAGGTGAGTTGTTGGAGTTTTCACTGAAGGTGATGCCACCTGAAAACGACGCAGGAAAATAAGGTTTACGTTAAGCAAACTGATTCACTCAGTCCTGTTGTCTGATAAATGACGTTACCTCGTTTAACGCTTTTTTTGTCTTTGCTTCTGATTTTTCCACTGGAGTTGGTTGAACACCTGAGCTTTTTTCCACAGTAGTTTGATACCTGTCACATGAACATACGCCACATTAACCAGCTTACAGTTTTTAAGTGACAGGGGCAAAGCGGTCCAAACCAACCAGGTAGTGAAAGAGTAATTCACTAATATGATCTTTCAGTGTCACCAGACACACCCAGACCTGATTACTGTCAGACCTGGAGGATTAAGAAGTCTGACAGCATGAAGTTGGCTAGATTATTTCAAAAAGTAACACATCATGTCCTGTTCTGAAGAACACAAGAACCCAGGACAACACTGAAAGCACTACTGGCATCATCACTTGGTTAAGATTAGGGTCAGATGTTATGATCCAATGCTTGGACAGAGATGGGCATAAAAATGGCATCATGGGAGTTTATGTCCCCGTCTCACCTTTACAAAAAAATAAAAATAAAATGAAATAAACATCTGGATGATCCTTGAGGATTTTGAACATTCTAGAAGGTGGATGTCTCGTTACGTCTTTTGAAAAACTGCATTTCAGAATAAAACATCATCCCACCACGTGAAAAACATGGTGGTGGTAATGTGATGGTCTAGGGCTGCTTTGTTGTTTCAGGACCACTTTGAACGATGAATTCTGCCTCTAGCAGAAATTCCTGCATGAGAATATCTGACCTTTGACCTGAAACAGGCTGAACAGGCTGAACGGGGACAAAATCCCCGCACAGTGATGTCAAAGGCTCGTTACCACCTCTACTAGTCACACATAGCAAACCGTTTGCTTTTTTCACATAGGCCAACAATATGCACGCCAGGTTCACTGTTAATTGTGAATCGCTTTAATGAAAAGCATCTGTCTGACACTGAGATTTTGTGGCTGATATGAAAAAACCCTAAAAACCAAAAAGAATAAATCAGCTGTACCTGGCCACTAACTGGGACACAGTCTTGTCCCGGAGTCCTGTGTCCGTCCAGATGGACCTGTCTCCTGATGAGGACATGTTCCTCAGTGACTGGGTGCGTCTCAGGTCCCACTCCATGGTCGCTCCAGCACAACAAAGCTTCCAAAGTAGCAAATCATGGTAAATCTGCATGTTTGTTAATACTTCTAGGAATATTTGCACCTTTAGTTTCTGACTAACAAATGAAGATTCTAAGTCCCGTGTCTCTCCTGATGTCCCCCTGTCTAACAGCAAAGGGGAAGCCAAAAGTTACATCTTATTTTTGTAAGAAAATACATTTTCAGGAGGAACTTTACCTGTCTGACGTTATTCCGTGTCTGCTCCTTGCAACAACCTGAAGAACTTCCTTAGCATCACACGACCTGCACATGATGTAAGGAGCAAAGTCCTTTTCCCTTCCTTATTACCTCTAAACTGTTTCAACTGATTGGTGATTTACACGGGGCTGCACAGTGGCGCAGTGGTTAGCGCTGTTGCCTTGCAGCAAGAAGGTCCTGGGTTTGCAGCCCAGCCTGGGGTCTTTCTGCATGGAGTTTGCATCTTCTCCTTGTGCATGCGTGGGTTCTCTCCGGGTACTCAGCTTCCTCCCAGTCCAAAAACATCACTGTCAGGTTAATTGGTCTGTCTGAATTATCCTTAAAGAGACACTGTGTAGTTTTTAACATTAATCTCTGGAAATATCCATCAAAATTTTGTTGTAAATGAATTAAAAGATGTCAAGTTGTTAAAAAATATTGGCAATTTCATAACGTATAACCATAAAAATCTGTTCTAATATATGTTGGAGCAGGAGTGACGCCATATTGGATGCCATGTTTCCTTCTACGGAAGCCCGTGAGGACAAACACATTCACAGATTTGTAACAAATAGTTACATAACTTTCACCAATAATAAACATAGTTTTTTTTACACATTTACTTCTTCACTCGTTGCCAGTGGTGAAAGTGTCATGTTCTGTGTCCCCCTGGTCCCCAGCCCCTTCCTGTTCTCACTCCAGGTTCTCCTCTTGTGTCTCATTAGCATCCCCAGCTTTCTCTAGGCTTCCCTCAGGTTTCCTTCTAGTCTCTCCCCGGTAATTCCTATTTTTATATTAGTCCTCCTCATCCCTCTAGTTATTAGTTGTTTATATTTCCTCTTAGTCTTTAGGTTTAGTTACTCCGTGTTTTATAGGTTAATGTTTATCTTCCCCCCTGCTCAGTTCTTTCCCCCCCATTTAGTTTATTGAATGCACCTGCCTTCCCTCCAGTATCTCACTCCTCACACCTGTCACCTGTTCCCCTGATTACCTTCCTCTGTGTTTAAAAGCCTTGTCTTGTCCCTCAGTGTTTGTCGGTTCATTGTTGTTGTCAGCGTGTTTTGTTCCGCTGTGTAAAACCTGAGACTCCTGCTCGTTTGATGTCTCCTGCACTTGTTCATATTTTTCTGGATACCTGGCTTGTCTTCCTGTCCGTCGTTTTTGGGTAAACTCCCATAATAAAGGATTCTACCTTTTTTCAACAACTCCTGCCTCATGTCGTCTGGTGCTCTGCATATCGGGTCCTACTCCTCCTGCTCTGAACCTGACAGAAAGGGAGTCTGATGTGATTGTCATGTTGCTGGAAGTTGCACTCACAGGGATTTTCGACCCTAATGGCTGTCCGTTAGTGTGGTCTTGCTGTAACACCAAAATGTTGCTTGCTTGCAATGATTCAGGTATGAACTACCCCATGTCGCCAAGGAAAATACACATTGTCACTTTAAGTTTGAATGTGTGTGCATGGTTGTTTTTTCCTGTGTGTCCATGTGTTGCCCTGCGGGTGTACCCCGCCTGCTTGCCCATTGACTGCTGGAGATGCCCCCCCCCCTCTCCCTTTCATTATATTTGAACATCTCACCTTTGATTGGCTAGCAGACATGCAACTCTTCCAGTGACTTAATTTGCTTTACAAAGTTGAGGTTTTATCTGCACAAATAACACAAGAGCCTGAAGGAGTTCTGCCACGTGGTGGGGTTGCTAATGCTAATGGTTAGCTTCTACTCATCGAGACGTGCTCTGCTCTCTCCTGGAGGCTAAATCAATAGCAGCCTTCCCCATCATGAGCCAAGAAGGGTGAGATCAGACTGGTTTTTCTAATCTGAGCATTCCCCCATGTATTTTCTATCAGAAGCTAATGCAGGAAATAGGGCTAGGAGATTATTTTCACTTCAGCCTGCATGTTAAACTCAGAGTGACTGATCATGTTTCAAAAATAACAAATAAAAAACGGTTTGTAAATGAATTTGGACTTAAAAATGCTACCAGAAAAAAAAAACATTAATCTTTTAGCAGAATAAAAACAGAAGAGAAAACTCAGCAGCGCTTCTTTAGATTTCCTTAAGTAGACTGGACTAATTTTGCTGCTTCAATAGGAGCATTCACTTCTTAAAATAAACTGCAAACATTGGAGTGTATTCAGTTTGAGTCAGCAAGGAACAAATGTTGAGGAAGTTTGTCTCCACCCAGGAATTCCAAGAGCTTTTAACCCCGAGGGCTGAGAGAACAGGATTAAGGTTCCTGGTGTGCTCACTCATAGAATTAACTAAATACGGAAAACGGCTAAACAAAACATTCAAATTATTGTTTTGCAGGCCAAGATTACATCATTTTCTTTACAGAAAAAGAAAAAAAAAGACTCCAGTTTTGACAACTGCACCCTCGTGTGGTGACATACCTTTATTGCAATAACTCCACACTATAAATGGAACAAAAATCAACATTTCTGGGATTGTTTTCCACCTTTTTGCCAGCTGGAGGCAGTAGAGCATGAATATCTCCATATTTTTAAACCTTATCTACCATTGTTTAAAAAATAATAATAAAATAATATATTTATGCAGAAGGAGACATTATGTTTAATGCAAGAAATTTAAAAGCCAAATGGTTAAACAATAAAAACAGCTGCTGATAATAGTGATGCATTTTCTCCTTTTGCATCATTCATATTTACTCCTTTTGGCTTTCTGGTGATCAATGTTCAGACAAAGAGAAGCAGTAGCAGCAGCACACACCCCTGGGGCAAAGAGAGAGAGAGATCCAGCCTCGGTGTCTCCCCCTCCTCCTCGCTCCTCCTCTGACTACAGCCCTCATCCTTCTGAACCCACTTCTGTCTCCGTCTCCAAGGCACCAGTCAGATGAAAGGGAATCAGCAATGTGCCGCCTGTGAACTCTGTAGCGTTAACAGGGGGAACTTTACTGGCTTGTCTGCATTTAAAATACACACCAGTAAGGAGGATCTGGGGCTAGTCAGTGAGAGGGGGTATCTGCAGATTTTATTTTTCATTTCAGGAGTTTCTTTATTAAATGCAGAGAGGATTGATGTTTTTGCATGAAAGTAGAAGAAAGGTTGCTGTTTGAGTCCATCAGAGGGCGCTGAAGACCATTCCAGCTCCTCTCTGTTTCCTAACCCTGCTGGTGGGGTTATGTGGGAACATGATGGTGAGGCTACCTGAGGCCATGTTGTGTTTTTGAAAAATGCTCCAAAATAACCCGGAACATCGAGTCTCAGAGTCACAAAACCGAGACGGATAAAAATCTGTGTTCCTTCAATCTGTTTGGGCAAAAGAGTGCATTTAAAGTAAATAGTCTCATTTGTGTGTTTGTTGGAGGCTGACCACACACACCTTACACAGCCAGCGGGCAGGAGTTTGTTTAAAATGATGTGTGTGTCTGATTCAGGAAGCTGCTTAAAATGTAACCAAGCCATTTAATTCTGACAAAAACAGACTCATCATTCATGAATGTGGGAGAAAACATGTTTGCTTTAATATTTTATGTAACAAATCTTCACAAAGAGGTTTTCTAAAAAGTATTTTATTTGTTTATCTGCAGTTTGTTTCAACCAATTGGCTCAAAATGTCTAATCAGTGGTCCCAAGTTTGGTTTCCTTTTAAAAATCAAAAATATTTTGTAAAAACAGAACAGAAAGTAGATTTTAAGCTTTGAGAAATGTCATGGTGACATTACAAAAGGATAGTTCACCATATCTTCCCCTGCTGACTGTCATGCGTGTTTATTCCATGAGTGACTCAGCGGATTTGAAATAGAAACCATCAACATCATCATCTTCATCACACAGTCACATGTTTGTTGTGACACATTTGTTGATTTGAATGTTGGTTTTATGAATCCAAAACAAAAAAAAACCCTCCCATTTGTACGATGTATTTTAATTCTGATTAAACTAATTATTACACTTATCTGGGTACTTTGTGTGGTGGTGCTGCGTAACCATAGAAACCAATTAAAACCATATTATTGGAGGTGCAAACACACTAGTTACAAAAACACACCTGTTCTAGCTGATACATAGGATAAATTATGAAGTTGGTTCAAATTTTGAGGCTTACATAAATATTTTGTTGCTAATTTAAAAGTTATGCAATAACAGAATATTTAAAGGAGATATTTTATGATTTTCCTCTTAAGCCGTAATAGTTCTATGGTTGATAAAAGTCATTAAGTTCTTTACATTAAGTCCCTCTCACATAAAGCAAGTTCAGCAATTTTATTCTTGAAAATGTTAGTACCTTCCAGAATGAGCTGTTTCAGGGCTCTGTCCCTTTAAGAAAACAAGCTGGAGCTGGTCACGCCCACCTGTCCCCACTCAGGCAGGTATTAGTCAATAAGCTCGATACCCAGGAGGGGCTTGGAGTAATGCCACTGCTCCTTCAGCCTGAATACATGAGAGGTGGTTGTGTTCTACTTTCCCTGTTTGTGACATCACAAACGAGTACTTTCTTGCAACAGTTTGTTACCATACACTGACAGAAAAAGGATGGACTTTTTTCACATTGGGAGTGATTCTAGAGGCAATAGAGACCCACATGGTATTTATGGGCACGATATGTCCTCCTTAACTCATTCACTGCCAGCCGTTTCCTGATCACTAACGGCCTTCGCTGCCAGCGTTTCTCACCATTTTTACTGTTTTTTAAGAGTCGCAGAACGTTGCGCGCTAGGATTATGTCGATGCCAAAACAACCAAAACAAAGCGGAGACTCATCCCCTACATCAGGAAGAATCAGTGTGTTTCAAGCATTATCCGTTCTTTCATAATCCATTGTTGAATTGTGATCGGCAGACGCTTTTCCGGTTTGCGCCTCACTTTTTTTACAGGAACGGCCCAAAACGACCTCCTAATACATGGAGGGTCTGCTTCCTGATCATGTGACGTGTGACGTATGCGGATGTAGATCGGCTTCAGGGCTGAGATGTTTGTTCTGTCAGCGCTGGGGCTCTTTCTGATGCTCAAACAGTAAAAAAATGCAAATGACGACTTTAGTCGTCAATGGCAGTAAATGAGTTAAAATGATTAAACTAAATAATAAAATGACTCCATTTTAATCTCCTAGAGTGATTAAATC